TTTTCTACCAGAAGGACAAATTTGATTGGCTAAATTCAATATGTAACACAAACCCCCGCACTCAATTTCAGACACTGCGAATAATAATAATTCAAATAATTCGAATAGTTTGAATAAAACGAATAAACAAATAGTTCGATTAAACAATTCAAATAATAAAATGAATAAACGAAATAAAATGAATATTCAAGCAAAACAAATATTTACTAAACGAATGATGTCAATTCGAATAATAAACGAATGATGATAACAATTCGAATGATAAACGAATGACGATAACAATTCGAATGATAAACGAATGATGTCAATTCGAATAATAATAATAAACGAATGATGCCAATTCGAATAATAATAATAAATGAATGTCAATTCGAATAATAATAATAAATGAATGATGTCAATTCGAATGGTAATGATAAACGAATGATGTCAATTCGAATAATAATAATAAACAATGATGTCAATTCGAATAATAAACGAATGATGATAACAATTTGAATGATAAACGAATGATGTCAATTCGAATAATAAACGAATGGTGATAACAATTCGAATAATAATAATAAACAAATGATGTCAATTCGAATGATAACAATAAACGAATAGTACAACTCGAATGATAAAGAATGATAACAATTCGAATGATAAACGAATGATGTCAATTCAAATAATAAACAAATGATAGATAACAATTCGAATAATAAACGAATGATAGATAACAATTCAAATAATAAATGAATGATAACTATTCAAATAATAAACGAATGATAACTATTCAAATAATAAACGAATGATACACAATTCAAATAATAAACAAGTGATAAAAATTCGAATAATAAACGAGTGATAAAAATTTGAATAATAAACGAATGTTACAATTCAAACAAACGAATGATTTGAATAACTCAAACAAATGAATGATACAATTCAAATAAATAAATGATTTGAATAATTCAAACAAAAATTTGTATTACAAATAGAAACTCTGTTCTATTGCAGAGTCATCAAATCTAACACAACTACAATACTTGAGGTGTCCCTACAAGCAATATAGTAAAACCAATAAAACTAATAATTAAATGTTGGCCAAACCATTAATCATCAGAAAGGGTTATGAATCAATTAATGAAAGTGTCATTATTG